CCTGTGGCATATGTGCTTCTTCTGTCCCGCTAAGGTTTATTACCCAGCAGTGAAAATCGGGATGGATGTCCTTTAAGATTGGGTTCGCCTTCCACCACTACTAATGTGGGGTTCCAAGCCTTCTCTGAAGATGAAAGAAGGTATAATACTTGCGCAGAATATGAATGTTCGACCTACAGAAGTTAATAGGGTTGCTGGCATGTCCCGAAGGCCAGCCTACCCGATGAGGTACAATGGCCAAGACAAAGTGGTCCTTTACTAATGCCGATCGTTAAACAACCAAATAATTACATAACAGTAACATTTACTGAGGGTTATCGACAAAGATAATGAGTGAGCATAGACTGAAACAAGTTCCCGCTTTATTAGTAAAGCACGATTATAATAATGGGAATCGTATTTTCCACGTTTTAAGACTATTTATTTATTCATTTTGTAGTGTTTTATTCATTGACAAGACATTGAAGTTTACTTAGGCTTGGCATTTAGAAAGTACAGTGCATTAAAATTATCAAACCGTAAGTTCAGAGATAATCAGGAGTAGAAACGCAACGATGAGGCAAAGTACATCTAGCAATGAACATCCGAAAATTTTTAAAGGAAACCAATCATTCACCGCATGTTACATTGGCCCGGATTCCCTCTAACCCCATCAGACGCACATTACCTACTTGGCTAAATGGGTTTAAGGCTTAATTTTACTGATTCATTGCCAGTGTTACATAATTGGCACACCACGGACACCACCAAAGCAACAGTGAGAGGAAATTGTTTAGAGAATGAATCAAGCATCAACCACCGCATAAAGGTACCGGTCTCCCATCGGCCATCTGCGAAACAAGATGGAGTACGACCACTCTACTCATTCCTCTTTGACTACAACAATAAAACTGTAGAACTTCAACGGAATGAAAAAATCAAGACGAGTAGCCCACAGACTGACACATTTAGATGGTAAGTTTCAAACTCCAGCATATGAAGTTTAGTGTTAATTTTTTGAGGTACGAATACAACTACCAATTATTCCGTAAACAGCACCACTCCTGTCATGTTGGGCGAACACAGTGATAAAATAATCGGAACATGATCCTTTATTAGTGCAAAGATCGATGTAAATGGCCACAATGGTGATATGGACAAATTAAAAAATAAGGCGATTCGAAAGACAAAGATAACGACCTCAGTTAATCAATCTCTAGAACTCCGCTAGACAGCGCTCCAGTTCCATAGTTTTCTCAAACTGGGGCTGTACACTTGCCGTTGACACGCTGTGTTCGCAGCAGAGACCCGCCAACTCGAGACAGAATTCGTTGAAGACAATGTAGGCGAAAATGACATTACGTATGTCCACAGATGAAAACTGCGAGTATGCGAAAGGCAGTGAGTCCGAAGTGTGTGAAACTGAACAAGGAGGCGTCGGCGAGTCAAGAATGAAGAGATGGGAGAGCCGATCGATGGAGGAGCGACGCAGACGCTGGCGTTGGGACAGGGGCTCAGTGCCTCCCCAGAATGGAAGTACTACAGGCTCGAGAACTGCGGTTCGAGGCGTTGCGCTGGCCGATCGATGAGAAGGGAGAGGCAGCCGAGTAGGTGCGGATGGATGATCCGTTTGCGGGCGAACTGATGAGCTTCGACTGCGCTCTGAAGTGGAAACTACCGGAACATGCAGAATAAAATTATGGCCACCAAATTATGACAATTAAATTTCTGTAAATTTTTTGTTGTTTGCCTGGCATTTCAAATTGAGTCCGCAAGGATGAAACCATTGAACAAGAAGAATACGTAACGCATCAAGTAGTTTTTAAATCCGCTTACTAAAAACCAGTCCACCGTCACAAAAGTTACACATATTGCCGTAGAAATGACTTTTCTTGTACCTCACAGTTATTGCCGTGAAACTGCATTACTTTTATTTTGTTCGACGAAGCCAAAAAGTTGACTTCACTGTCAATATGTCAAGGGCACTTCGGAATCATAGAAACTAGGAAATAGAGGTTACCCCCGGATGGTAATAATGTGGTCGCCGCAAGGAGGTCGTCATCAGTGGCGCAGTAAGGCCTGGTAGCAACAACGATCGCAGAGGGTAGAGTCGCTTCCGGATTTCGTTGACTCCGACCATGCAGAAAGCACATGGCCTGTTCAACTAAGGCGCACCAGTTGGGTATCTTGGCCAAATGCTGTTCTATCTCTCGCCTTAGATCGACAAGGACCTGAAGGCGAATAGCCAAGAGAAGGTAGAAACAATGGATAGAAAACTGGCGGTAAATTGTGCCTGCTTTCACGTACCTCGTAAAGTGTCTGTGTTAGTTTACCTAGACTAACATCTGCGCACTTCAATAGAATGTCAGCCAGTGGGAATTGGTGAAAACTTGCGAGAATCAGGACAACATCTGTTAGGATCAGATTTAAGTAGAGACTATTCTTATGCATGCTCCCTATTAGACTAAGCACACAGTTGAGGAAGGGGCCTGAAAAAAGAAAGTAGAAAATGAATTCCTGCATACAAAAAAATTATGAATTCACAAAGGGCAATGAAATTTGGCTAACCAAGCCCACACGACGAATGGTGACACGATGAACACTCCTCGAAGGTGGGTCGATATGGCAGTTCAGGGAGCTCATTACCATACAGGCTCTCGAAATCATAATCAGCTTCCAGATTACTGACTGGAGCTAATGATTCGTACTTAGGCGAAGGTTGTGGAACGATAACAACGGGAATGGCGTGTTTCCCGAGATAATAATCAAGGAAATCAAAGGTGAATTGACCGACCGAGGGATAGGGAATAGTAGCCCCAATGTCGTCATCACTTTCCACAGGAAACCCATCCTCCAACAACCTAGTAAACAGGGTGACAGCGTCACATGTCGATGTGCCATCAATATCGGCAACGAATTGGCGAATGACATCAAGGGAGGATTTCTCTTGTTCATTAGACTCCAAGTCCACAGGTGATTCCACCTGTTTCAAATCAATAGGAGAACGCAGTATTACTGATTTTTTATTTTCCCGCTCCAACTCCTCATCGGAGTCATCGCAATAGCTCAATTGGTAGATATTAGATTCCGACTTATACCGATCGATGAGGGAGAGCTCCTGCAGTCGCGAGTCCGATTCTATGCGCAGACTTGAGGCCATGAGGGTGTGCAATGGGGTGCTGTGAAAGCGTACAGCGGGGGGATCAGTGCTAGAGGTGGTAGGGACGAGAGAGGGGACCGGTGATTGGTACTCAGCCGACCACACGCCTGTGCTACGTGTCCGTGAATCGATGAGCTGATGGGAGATGAGAAGGTATGCCGCGAATCGATTTGACGGAACACACTTGATTGTACCAGATTCATTTCTGAAATCAAAGGTCATGCAATTAGAGAATAGTTCTTGGTAAACCCTTTCTGCCGCTTTGAGTTATTGCCATGACTCATTACTTACGGTTATTTAAGAAATTCACATTTGATATTAAACTAATAGGTAGGGGACGTAGAATATTCAATCTCCAGAAGGTTCAAAATTATGCATCCAAGGTGTCGATAAAGTTTGGAAGAATCAGTAAGGGAAGGTTCGCAAATGACACTTCTATTGCTCGTCCAAAAGGCATGCCAGTTATAGTGGACGGTTAGCAAACCTACAGTATTTATTTCAACTCAAAAACAATAAATAAACTGTGAAAGGAGAAAAAAGGCCATCATACAAACTTACAGACTGGATGAGCCCTTTGAGTCATTTAAACTTGTACACCAAAAGGATAATTTCAAAAAGCGCTCCGATGAGGTCAACCACAATAAATTATCCGAATTCGAGAAATGGAAGGCATCTCGCCTTTTCCCATCAACAGGACACTCGCGCCCAATGTCTAACTTTTTGAGGTACCTGAGTGGTGAGAAATGAAGTGAGGACTAAGAAGTGGACAGTATAGTCTCCTTTCTACAATGGAACTTACTGGAACACCAACAAAAACATGATATCCTCGCAGTTGAGATTAAGAATTGTCCGGAAGAGAGAGAGAGTGACCATCTCAAGCTTAAAAAAGACATAAATAAGTTGAAGACCAGCGGTGTGTTTCAGGGAAATATGCGGCACGGATGAATTATGTCCCCACAGTGGCGGGTGTACAGGGAATCAGTGAAATATCAAGTGGCCGAGAAATTTCAAGCGGCTTTTGAGACAGCTGAAATGACTCATTATACCCTGAAGAGAGCTGCACAATTCCTATTACCGTTTGAATGCATACTTGTAAAGCATAGAGATGCCTCCGCCTATCGGCAAGGTCTCATTTACTGCCGTTGGAATTTGTAATTCGAGTTTGGTCTACGAAATGAATTTACTTCGGCTCCAATGCTAAGAAACGGGCTTCTTGTAAAATTTAGTGGAAGTGCAGTGTGCAGTCACAGAACGCACCACTCAGCGAGCAATACTAGAAGAAAAAGTGACTCCCATAATAAATCATGCAAAGACGATTGTAACACGTTCAGAAAGACCCTCTATCCCTGGCTAGAGCATTAAATTACGCATTACTGTTCATTAACATGTGTAAAGTAAGTAGATTCCATTTACACGTACTAACGGATTACATTAAGCCTGAACGTCAGTCAAATCGTCGCCAGCCCATTCAGATACATCACAAAAAGGGCCGGGCAATATACATTGTTTGATAGCTGTCTGGCGTGAGAATAAATGGCCAAGTATTCCAAAGTTCGTCGAGCAAAGGAAAATATCATTGGCTACTCACAAACGATCAACTCAATATAAGACCTACACTCCTAAGGCAAGCAACACTTTAAGCATGCCGTTGTAGGCTACATTGCGTGTGGCAGACTACGGAAGCAAATATTTACCATGAATTTATTTAAAAACACTCAAAACTAGTTAATCGGTCGAGAGAAAGACCTATTCACATTCGTAGAAGACAACACAGCCTACCACAAAAAAGATTAGCACTTTATAATGGAAAGGAATATTCCACCTCATTGTCCATCATTCCATCATATATATCTCCATGGTATTATTACCTTTTCCTGTCATTTTAAAATATCCTGATAGCTAGGAAATAGAAGATAATTAGAGACTAGGCTTTTGCTTCGAAATGACAAAAAAAGTTTCAAAAAAATTGAACTTGCGAATCTGTAATGATGTGTGGGATGCAAAACCACACGAACGAAGGTGTACATCTTAAATGAATAAAAAAAAAAAAACAAGAAAAAAGGGGGATAGACCATGCGCAAAATTTAAAGAGGAGGGCCCGAACTATTTAAATCAACCATAACAACGGGACGTAATCAAACGCATGCAGAGGTATTGGCACAACCATACTCAAAGAAACTTAAAAATTCCATGCGATTACGATTTTGTCAAGTGATTACGCAACCCACACAATACAGGTCAGAACGAGAGTTCATATGCAGCAGGGAGGAGCGCAAACAAGCAGGCGTAGATAGCAAAGTGAGGAGACTTACTTGATAGGATTCCTCACCAGGACTCTAGAAACACAATCAGATTCAGAAACGCAACGCTTACAAAAACCTATTGCTACTAGAACCTATAAGAGAATAAAGAACTTTGGAGCCAGCAGTGACTAGTGTATTCAAAAGTTTCAAAGCACTCTAGAAAATGCACAAATTATAATTAACAAAGGAATTAATGTCCTGAAGGGTTCATAGCATACACACACGACTCACTGCTGAATCGGCGGCTAGACGGGTGATGAGAGAAGAGAGGACGGATCCATTTTCAGCGGTTGAGGCGACGATAAATCGCAGAAAAAGACCAATCAGAGCGGGTTCTGTCAATCGGCAAAGAAACAATTCCAAATAGGCCTCCGCGGCAATCACTTCATCTATCGCTTTCTGGCAACAGGAGTAAAGAGCACCAAATAAGAAATCTGATTATAAAAGCTTATGTAAGGCAGAGAACTATGATGCAGTTGCCAACATCAGTTGAGGCCATGAGTCTTGAGATCTGGAAGGCAATGATAGCATACCTGATTCAGCGCAGACCTCAGAACAGACATTAGGAAGCCGGAGTAGATATAGTATAATAGGTATTGGCGAACAGATTGATGAGAAATCTAAGAGAAGGCAGAGCTTGGTTGACTTGACGATAACGGTTAGAAATATGCTAGACATATACACGTAAGATAGTGATACACCAGAAAAAAGTAACAAGAAATCATTGACCATGATTCCTAAAAGCAAGACACACGCGAACGGCTAAATTGCAGAAATCAAGAGTTTGGAGAAAGCGAACGAGAGGTTCACAGGTGGACCACTCAGACCGAGAGATTCGATGCCAACCAGCACTTCGCACGTGAAGGGTTTCGGGGGATTGTCGGACCTGCCCACTTGCCGAGTAGCCATCGATACCATCGGGCACGATACGCTTGGGAAGACAGGAGTAGTACCCACTCAAGCCAGTTGCCAGGACCTAAAGTAAACTGGAGGTGAGGCAAAGGTATTGGAATGGAAGCTAAATGCGCGCCCCAATAATAGAAAAAAGACGTCAGCTTTAGGATGATATTATGACACTTGGCGCTAAAAAAGAAATGGGGGGGGGGGGGGGTTAAATGATTACAACATTGCTAAGATTTACGACGGATAAAGGCTATTCGTAAACGGCAGTGGCATTAGCAAAGCTCATTTTTACCAATCCGGCCATGTACGTGCTTGTCAAATAGATCAGTAGAAAATAATACGAAAAACGTGGTTGTCCGCTACAATCCCATCTGATAAACCTTGGAAAGAGAAAATGCTGTTCTAAACAGGCATAAAGATACTAATAGGGTGCTGATTAATAATTGCAATATTATTCAGATAGAACCTTACTAGTTGATAATCCAGACAGAAATTCTTAAAAGCAAGCAGTTGACCATCGAGAGACGAACCAGGGAGGAAATCATGCGTTAAAATAAGTATGCAAACGACTGCGAATGTATGTAATGGGCTTACGGGACAGATATCTGACGTTGACGTGAGGTAATTTGCTACCTCGGCGTCACGATCCGAAAGAGCAAGAATGAGAAGAAGGGCGTCTCGCGCGTTATTTCCTGGAATTCCTTGCAAATGAAGCAGTGGAACGAGTTGGGAGAAAATAAAGTATTCGTTACGCGCTACATCGTGCGACACCTAGATGGGGAAATTAATCAAAAAAGTAGATAAACTTTTAAGTAGGCTACGGGAAGGGGGAACTGATCAAACGACAAATGGAAAGTTTTCGAAACTTATATTAATAAAAGACTGTTTACCAAATCATTTAAAAATAATAAATAAAGAAAGCGGGGGAAAAGGTATGCCCGGACCTATAGGGCAAGGAATTACCTGCTTGGAGAATTCCAAGAGAACGGGATCTCTGCATAAGAGCACAGATAAGGTATAAAGTAGGCGACTCAAATTTTCTGACACATACTCAGGAAACTCACGACACAAATCAATAAGCTTTAAAAGGGGTTGGAAGATGGCAATAGAGAAGAGGAGATTTTGTTTCGCCTGGCTGATTAGAAGGTCAAAATTGCATAGCAAGTTTTGGAGAACGAAGTACTTTAGACTAATTGGATAGAATTCTTCTGTAGAACCCCATGAGACGAGTTTTGCCAAGAATTTGGAGTCTATGAGTTTGGAGGCCAGTGGCCCAAGTGGAAAAGAATCGCAAATGATGCCACCTATTTTAAGAAAAAGGCCAAAAATATGAAGTGTGAAGGGGACAGCTAAAAAAACTATAAAGCTCAACTGCAATTACATGCGTTTGCTGAGAATTGATGACATATATTGACGAAAGACATACATATGTTCATAGGGATCATTTAACCTCCTTAGTCAAGTAGAGGTGACATCACTATACATACCCACCAACACAAACAAAAAATGAGCAAAATTGCTAAGACGAAGGATGGAGTAGTCTTCGTCGCGTAAAAGGACTTGTGGAGGGCAAAGCTATACCTACCACAGGAACTAGTCTTATCTGGAGGGGGTTTTTCATCCACAACGAGATTGAACAAGGTCCGAATGATCTCGAAAATGTCGCTTACATTCTTCTTGTCACGTTTTCTTGGCCTAAAGAGAACCACGCACGAGTCTAAACAGATTTCAAGGGAGGAGACAGCGTCCACCATTTTTACTAGCCGCAGTGCTTTGCGATAAACCCAAACAAAATGCAAGGACTTGATTTCTAAGCAGCGAAGTAGGTTTAGGGTATCCGTATTGATTATACGTCTTTCTAAACAACTTTAACGGCCAATTGCTTAAAATCTTTGACCCGAGTTTTGTCATAGCCGATACAGTAAAGACTGGTAAAAGCAACTTGTCTACAACCTTAACTTTTTGATAAATTGAGGGTAAAATAGCATTCGTAAAAGAAGACCTATAGGAATTTTTCGCTTTTGACGTATACGCATAAACACATTTTGTCTTGCATTCACAATATTTGTAAACAGAAATTTGTTTGCAGAAATTACTATAATGTTTCATTATGCAAAATTAGAATAAATTTGCAGCATAGAACTAGTGCGTCTTTTAATGACGATGATATTTCTGGTGCACGCCTATTTCTCCTTCCGACCCCATTCGACACAAATGGAAGAATCGAGGCTGAAAGTTGGTTCTTCGGTTTTGGTCCTGGGGAAGAATATTGAGGGCACAGTCGCTTTTATTGGTACAACGCAATTTTCATCTGGTACTTAATTCTCAACACTAACTCTTGCTAAGGAAAGTGGGTCGGGGTTGTTTTAAATGAACCTCTTGGTAAAAATAACGGAACTGTTCAAGGGAAACGCTACTTTGATTGCAAGGAGAGCTATGGATTGTTTGTGCGACCATCACAAGTGAGTGCCATTGTCATCCCGTGCAATTTTTTACATCTGTCCTTTGCATCTGATGTTGTGCTTCTATTCTGTGTAGTTATTTATTTGCAGTCCTGTTCCTGTCGTTGCATTTTGCTAAACCGCCCTTGATAGTATTTCATGCGAACACTTTATTTTTTACACCGCACTACTAACTCTTGAATACTTGATGGTCCCCTTTTTAACATCTAGGTAGCACTTATTGGACCAGACGGCTCAATCTCCGTCATGAATACGTCGATAACCTCTGCGGCTTCGGAAAGTGGCTCTACACGTATGTCGACGCCTGTTGCTGGCCCCTTCAAAGGTAGGTCTTCACACCATATCCTTTTATCATTATCATCACTTCCCTGGATAAATAGCAGACAGCTCTCGAAGACAGATTCCAATAAGCATTCGATCCACTTCCAAGCCAAACAGTAGAGTGAATTCTTCAGCCTCACGAAAAGGTAGAAACGACGTGTTTTGACGTCGTGTATGTTTATTTTCTTTAAATCTGCCTTATATAACTCATCCAACTAACGTTTCTCACTGATCCATGATGTCATTAACGCTGATAAAGTTACAATAAGCCTTGATTTTAACGCTCTTACCTATAAGGTTAGTTCATCGTCCCACATACTGGGCTAGCTTTGTTCACTTACAGCACAACTTAGACCACCTACTCATGGTAGTAGAACAAATTTGCCTTCAACTACTACAAAACTAAGCGGCACAAACATCGTGAAGAGTGAAGGTTAGTCAAGTGGCTCAGTTGGCACCTATGTAGTCTTCCTTATAGCTTAACTAACTTTGTGGCGATTAATCTCTGGCGCACACGCGACTGATCTAAAAGCTTTTCCGATTCTCTGTTTCAATCCCCGTCTAGTAACTAAACTATCTTGCCTAGATGATCTTACGAAATCTGATATTCCCGGACGGATGTCTGTTTCTCAGGTTCGTTTATTTGCAATGCAAACTTGAATTTTTTTTTGGTCACATTTTTTCCTGTTGCCTTTTTTAGATAGGAATATCTAAGAGGCATCGAGTAAGCTTTTATAAGTTGTTTTTAATAGAGCTTCAGCTTTCTTTCATATCACTAGAGTTATTCTTTTTGTTACCCATCCCGTGGTCATTTTTGCTTAACTAACTAATGGCTTTAAAACTAGGCTGTTTGGAAATAAACCATTGTCCCTTAAGGCACTAATTTTGTTTATTTAAAGCCTTCCGGTGCTTCCTCACTCTCTTCCATGTCACCAAGTCGAAAATCTTCATCCCAAACCATTGCCGTTGACTCAACGGCCAAAAAACGTGTATCCACAGGAATGCCTCATCATTCGGAGCCCATCAAACACTCATCTGTTTCCCCATCGTCTTCTCAAGCACAATTGGAGGGTCCATCTCCAACAGAGGAAACTCTCCCCTCTGATGTGCGTGTAGAACTCAAGAATCTCCGTGCTGAAGTGAGAGACCTCACTGAGAAACTAGAGGTGCTAAAAGCTAAGAGAGCGGAAGATCGAGTTAAACTGAAGGAGGCCGAGTCGATGAAGGTGCAACTGGCCCAGCTGGAGGAGAATCGCAAGCTGATTCAGGAAAAATCAGCCGATTTTCAGCGTCAAATTGCTAAGGCTAAGAGCGTACGTTGCTCTCCGTACTTAACAAAAATTTTTGAAAGTAAAAAATAGGCCTATTTAATCTGCAGGAAGCGGCGGAGAAGCAGGCAGCCTTTGACCGTTATAAGGAAGAAATGATTGACGCAATGGACACCATTGAAATGGCTACTCTGGACAAGGAAATGGCTGAAGAAAAACTCGAAACTGCTAATATGGAAATTGAAAGTCTCAAAGAAAAGGTAGAAGAGCTTACTTTGGAAAACCAGATCCTTAGGGAGGAGCAAGCCAATACACGTAGGTGGCCATCTTGACGTTGCGGAAAAAAGGAAGCTCAGGAATTCGCATACTTTTACTTGCTTGTTTTTTCTAGCTCTACCAGCTGCAGACGGCGGAACAACTTTGCCGGGTCCAACACTGGCTCAGTTGAAACAGCTCGAACAGCAAAACGAGCGCATGAAGATGGGTTTGGTGACCTTTCGGAACTTGGCTAATCAGGACAAACAGGAGATCGCTGCTCTTACAAGGGAGGTAAGTTAACATCGCCTCTAAATTCATGTTGTCGGTCCATCTCTGCACAATTCTTTTGGTGAAATCCTGGCCACAATGTTGAACTAGTATCAGGTCCCTAGTGGTGTGCAGTTTATTGCATTCTATGCAAATCCACTTCCACTTTGAATTATTTGCATTTCTACATTAATGGGTGTTGCTGACTGACATTACTGAGCAATGAAGTGTATAGAAATGTTTACTTTTTTCATTCCATTAATCTCATGGTTTTATTCTCTTCTGAGCAGCCAATACCGTAAAATCTTTCATTGATTTGCCTAAGAATAGTGTAATGAATTCGAGCATCGGAAGTGGCATTGAACTTTCGTTTGCTTTATGTAAGTACGAAATGAATTCGGCCTGTATTGGTTAATTCCATGTTGAGAGTGCTCCCAAGTGCATTATCGCATGTCCTCTCACAATTTTATAGCTGTGCGAATCAATTTAGATTTCCAAGTTTTACTGCATACCCTGATGTTTGCTTTTAAGGTTTTGCTAATAAGCCCATGTCTTTTAAATAAATCTCCCGCCTTAATTGGTAACAGCAGTAGGGGCTGTAAATGAGGTGAGGCTCACTTTATCAAACTTGAAACTATCCTGAATTACAGCTGCATGAAACTCCAATTCCAATTATTTGTAATATCTTCAAGCGTCCCTCTTCTACATTCTGCAAACTAGTTTCAGCACTCTTTCCTCATGTGTGTGGCTCTGTTTGGGCTTCCGGAACAACACAGGGAACAATTCTTACATTGTGAAGTTTAGTTATGGACGATTCTAGAGAAGAGAATTTTATATTTCCTTTGAGCACTCTTTTGTTGGATTTCTGCCTACGAATTCCATGCTACAAAACGTTTTTTTATATATATTTTTTGTAATTTTTTAATCGAAAGCTCCCAAGGCAACTGAGTGTCACGTTTAGACAATATTTCTTCATACACCTCCCTTTTATACATGGTGGTTAACATTTCTAGAGGAGCTAGTCGTACATGCAAATTTTTGTGAACAGTTTTTGTATAATTTATCAGCGTTTTTTACTCGAGCTTCTATTTGAGAACGAGTAGTTATATTAAAAGATGGATCAAATATCCCAAAGATCTTGCTAGTTTTTGTTTCCTTGTGTATTTGACTTCGATACTTCTGATACGACTCGAATTAGTTCATACTTTGAAGATAAACTAGAGTTAGGTACTCATTTATGATAAAGGCTGTTTGTATTCATGGGTCGTACCCATGCTCTTGTATTCAGTCATACTTCTCAAGGCACTGTTTACAGGTGTCCACTCGGTTCGCATAATCATTAAACCGCTTCCTCTCTGTTAGGTATCAAAACTCCAAACCGAAGTTTCTCATCTGAGTGCAGAAAAGACGCGGTTGAGCGAAGAATTGCACCAGGCACTGGAGCAGACGATTGAGTTGAAGGAGCAGGTCGATGCTGCTCTTGGAACCGACCAAATGGTCAATATACTTACCCAAAAGAACCTGGAGTTAGAGGAGAAGGTGGATAAACTCACTGAGGAAAGGAATGATTTGGTACGTTCCACCTCTCCCTTCCTCCTTTTCTGCCACGTTTATTCCTTAGTTGTGCTTGTGAAATACACTTGCAAAAATCCACTCTTATTCATGTGTAAACTGGCTAATGGGATTATTGCCTGTGCAATGACCTACTTATGCATCATGTTTTTGCAGTCGAGATTCTGCTGGATTTAATTTATCAGAATTATTTAAAAGGTCTGTTTCGTCCAAAGACATTGAAAGGCATCTCCTTGCTCTGTGCGGCTGCTCTAACAATAAATCTCTTTTTTGCATAATTTTTAATTGTTTGAACTAACGTTTTCACTGGCTATTTGAATTGCTGCAAGCGCGGTTTTCAGTGTATTATTTTTTTCCCTTATTTGCGATGAAATGCAGAAATTCATGCATGGTTTTACCGCAAAAGTTTAGAATGATTAGAAAGATAAACATAGGTTACGTGGTCAGCATATTTAAGGGTTTATTTTTTCGGGAGTCGTGGTAATTTAACATGTAATTAACCTGTGGCTGTGCAGCAAAAAATTTCGCAGTTAGCCACACTTTCCTGTTGCAATGGAGCTAGCGAAACTTGATCCCCTAATCTGTGCTCCAATTCAGAACTTGGGTTCCCAATATTGTAGGCAGTAAAAGGATGAAATCTTGGGTGCATTCAATCCTGAGTTACGCAAATTTTATAGACAGGAGAAGGGTCTTGCTAAAACATTCCTGACATCATCAAGATATCGGAACTTCTTATTTATCCTTATTACAAAGGCAGGATTCCAATAGAATCAGGTAAGTCGACAGCTGAGGCGAAAACGATATACCTCTTCATCGTTTGCACCAGACCTGAATCGAAAAAAAGGGATAGTTACCACATAGCTGGTATGCTGTAACGTTATTACTGAATTGATTCGGTTTGTTTACACAAAGTATTACAAAGTCTTCACAGCAAAGTGTTTTCAAACTGCGGTATATCATTAGTATCAAAGCCTAACAACCTCACATTGAACGTTATTACCATAGGAGTCTCTGTGCGAAATGAACGATGAGTTGTTGGAGGGTGAACATGAACGGCAATTAGAGTTGGCCGAGCAGATTGATCTAGCCCGGGGTCAGATGCGCGAATTGGCACGTCAGTTGGAGGCCAGTCGGGAGACAGTGGCGGACTACGAACACACCATCTCGAAATTCCGCGAGGTTGTAACTCAACTTCAAACGCAGAACACCCAACTGAGCCAGTCGCTTGCCGATGCGCGCCGTTCCGCCAGCTCTGCCAATCTCGCTGCTATGGCAGTGGAACAGTCGGTTGCTTCCGCCGAGGCCTCTGCTCTCATGCTTGGCAATCCCGCGGGCAGGAAGATGGAGGCTCAAACTATTGCTAAGGTAATGCCTCCCCTTAATTGCTTAAAGTGGATCCATCCATTGTACTCTAATCCAAAGTGTCAGTGAATAGCGCAAACATCCCCAAGGTTTGGAACTTAGTAACGTCTAAATGCCTGGAGTTATGGTAGCGCTAAGTATCGGAACAGAAGATCTTAAACTCTTCTTGTTGCCTTGCTACCACTTCAACTTTTACCCACCTGCTTTTAATAGTAAAATCTGAGTTTTTTTCTCATTTCTGCGAAAAGTATCATTAATAGTTCAACGAATGGAAGGATATTACAATGAAGGAAAGTTGAGGCGGTTTTCTCCCAAAAAATAACCAGTTACGCAAGCCTTTCCTTTGTGATGTGAGTTTCCCGGATTTCATATTCAGGAGTAGTTTAACTGTTGGGTAGCTGTCAGTTAGACAATCACCTGACAAAATTTAAAACTGTATATTAAGCCATAGAGCGTTTCAATATTTATATTCTAATTTTATTTTAACCATTCAGCTATCATTCTTCGGTTACCATGATCCAGTTCTTAGGCTTTTCGTTCCTCGTGATGAATTGGGTGTGCTTCATTCTTTTTGTTAATATACCCACTTCCGAGAACTAGATCCATTTAAATGTGGGTTTCGCAGAAGTGACGAACTTTTGCATGCCTGATCACAATGCCTACCTCATGGCGGAGCACTAACTGGTGCATTTTAAGTTATGAACTGTGTTGCTGTGTCATGATCTGCTATTTGTGAATATAAGCATGGATTCCGTCGAGTTTCCTATTGGAACAACCAAAGGCAGAGAAGTCAATTCCGGATGTCTATCTGAACTGTACCAGTTTGCTGTGGGTATGGTGGGTGCGTACATGTTTCCCAGCTGACTGCTGAAGGTCGCTGGGGTAACAGGTTGGTAACATCCTCGTGTATTTACGATCCAATTGGTCTGGGCTCGAATTGTGCTTGATTACTAGTGCATTTCGAGTCGGTCTGTGCGTGGTATTGTCTAATTAGGTGAACTGAACGAATGCATGGGTCGAGTCTGGAGTCGTTCTAGATGTTAAACACAAAGATGATTACCTTCTAGGAAGTGGGAATATGAGCGTTTCCTGGATTTGCAGATATCTCCAGCGCGGTGTAGTCCTTACTCCTCATGATGTAAGTAGGGGTAGTGCTTAAATTTTCTTCCCAAATTTTGTTCTTAGCATTCATTTCAATATTCGAATTCGATCTTGACGATGGCAGGTCGTTTGTTTCTAGAGGTAGGGTAGCAAAGCGTACTAACCCGATTTTGTAACATCAGCAACAGCATCATTCTGCCCAACTTCTTTTTAACCTACTTAATTGGTGTTTCACGCGCCGCCAGGTAGCACTTTTTGCTTTCCAGTATGGTTTTTTTGTGCCTAAAACTACGGGGTAATCCAATAACTAGTTTCAACTAAATGGCTATTAAAAGCTTTTTAAACTGCAAAGTTTATTTGTTGAATAATCAACACTACAATCTACGCGTCTTTTCCAAAGAGCAAGGGGCAAAAGTTTCCGTAAATTCCACTCTTACAAAGCTATTGTATTTCCTGTGTTCGCGTGATGAACTAATACTTGCTCTAAGAAAGAGGTATAGTCGTCACTCAGCAAACTGCTATCAAAAGATAAGGAGGCGAATGATGTGACCCTTTCATCACTACACAAACAATCACGGTCCTGTGTGGATGAAATGACACTTTTCCTAAAAGTATTTGGGAGAGTGGGGAGTTAATGAGTGGATATTTTGAGAATCAGCTATGTTACGTCTGTTTGCTTGATGAGGATTGTGATACAACAGATAGTTCTCGTCAAAAGCCAGCCAATTGGTCAGTCTGTCAGCAAACAATCTAGAATGCACGCCGTTTCGATAACGCGCAAGAGATGATTGAAGAACGAATTGCTAGGCATTCAAGCTTACTTTGTGTCATCTCAATGCATCTAGGTGGCACTAATTTTCCGCAGACCCCACGGCTTCTCCTCGGTTGATATGGTGTTACAAACGTTAATCATCCACGTCCAGCATGGCAAACCTTTATTTCCATGTCAATCAAAAGCTAAGCGGAATTCTATATTCTTTTCAAAAGTAGTTTGTCATTCTGAACCTGATTTACATGCTTTGAGAAATTCATCAATAGGTTCAGCTTGTTCATTAAAACTATTTGCTTCTGGCGGTACGTTCTGCTGCCACTTACCACACCCTCAAATGGTAGCTATAACGATAAACTAGCTTCTACTTTGGTTTTGGAATCCAGTCAAACAAACACGTTTGGTAGAGTAGGCAAGCTCGATTTACACTTCCCAGCTTCAACCCACTTCTGATGACATAAGGGTTTAAAGTAAGAGGAAAAGTTTTTGAATACAAATAAAGGTTACCCTACCGATAGATCGAGGCACCTCTACGCTTTATAATGATGTACAGAAACAACAATCGCATACATTTTCCAAGTACTTGCGAGTTACAAGAAGCCATCGCAGCATGCTGTATGGAAAACCTATCTACCATTTACAGTTGCCTGATATAAGTAAACATCGAAATTTGGGAAATGCTAGCGGGAGTACAGAACAGAAGGGATCACCTTGAAAGGTCAATGAGCTAATGCGCATCACTTCCATAGTACTTGTGACAAGAAACCGAAAACCGTACGTCAGTGCTGAAAACTCATTAAAGCGAAAAACCTCTAGTTTAATAAATGCATTCAGACCACATATTTAGATCCCAATATCACGCACAACGTGGCGCTCTATCGCATCAACGGGTCCACTGCGGAAATAACACAAAAACAGTAAAAATACGCAAAAGCAACGGACGAACCATTTGGGTAGCCACCAGCTGACCCGCGCTCTTAGTGGTGGCATAGAGACAGCGAGCGCAAATGACGAGTTTGTGAAGAGTTAAGTCGAGGCGGACAGACAAGCCGGGTGGGAAGCGGAGTGGCTTTGTTGTATGGAAAATTTTTAGTTACTCTTAGACGCTTTGTTTGTTTTTTTCTTAAATTTCCTTCTGCATGTAGTGTTCACCTCTTCATTTTAGTGCGTTAACTGTTTAGATTTAAGCGTTCTGTCAAATACTTACACTGTCTTACTCTATTAGCTAGTCACAATTACGCTGAAGTGTTATAAAGAGTGTGAATCATTTTCACATAATTGTAGGTAATTGAGGTGGAGTTGCGTAAGCTAGATGCCGAACAAGGTGCTCAACACGTTGAGTGGCTCTCGCACTTTTTGCCCGATACGTTCAGTCGTCATGCTGGGGACCATGATGCTATTCTCATTCTGCTTCTTGTCAATCGTCTTATTTTCAAGTGTGAACTCCTTGCTACTCAGGTATGTTGCGCATCATGTCTTTGATTATGTTCGAGGAAAATATAATGGAAACTTCACTAAAGGGTTAACTTTGGTGTTTTTCGGATGCTTAGAGTGACCACCAAAAGTGTAAGTAATGAGTTTTAAATTTGCGAGAACGGATCGAGAACTATTTATTTGCGAAGAAGTCAGTCACTTTTAAATTGTGTGTTATTTTGGAAATTCATGCTTACAAATTCTAGGTGAGAAAGCGGTTTCCCTTGCCCAATTGCATCCGTGGTCTGGCTTCGACAAGTGGCCTTCATACTGCATTACCTCCAGATCTAATGCCTCCTACACCGGTCAAATTCACCGCTGGGGGGGACGAAATAGATGAAATCGGCATTTTCAAAACTGAAGCTGAATTGGCCAGCTTCATCTCCTTCCTTATTCTCCTTCTTAATTACTGGCAAGGCCTGTTGCTGCAGTTCAAGAGGTAACCATTGTGCCGTTATCATGTGATATACGGATCTGCGTTTTCGTTATTGACGTATTGAAAGCTCCACACTGCACCCATGAGCGTTGAGATGGGAGACTTGAGTAACCCTCGTCTGCACTAGACCGCAACAAGTGATGGTTGTCCACCATAATTGCGAAGACCAAATCGCGCGAGAATGGGAGGCTAGTGTTGTAAAAGATATACCCAAAATAATGTGTATTCTACTCCTTATACCTGTCCTCTCTCATCTCGCCCTTTCGTTCTTCCTCTTTCCCCAGCGTTTTATCGTCATGCAGTGTAAAGAGTTTCTCCAAGCTCGTCACTCTCTACAACGACCTGTCTGCAGGCCATGAGGAGACGGTGGATCATCTCCTTGATCTCTGCAAGCGTGACCAACTCGACGAGGCGGTCTCTCTGGAGGGTTTGATTTCCTCGGTGAATTTTTTCAACAAAATTCACACCGCTCACGTTGTACCCGTACTCAATACCTTGTCCGAGACCATGATTTCCACCGGAATTATGAACAACTTCGCACGCATTGCTCTGGCCTGTGCTGAGGCTGTCACTGTGGATGCCTCATGTCTTGCTGCCTTTATTGGTCAAGTGGGTTTTATCTTGCATTTTGGATGCGTTGATTCTTCCTTGCTTTTCCTCTCTTATAAGTCAATGAGTGAATTAGGGCAGGGAAAAATCCACTCTCTTGCATTGTAATATTACAAGATTAAGATCTTGTACACTTCTTTTTTAGTTTATCAACCTTTTTTGTCAATTAGGTGGATTTGGTCATCCTCGTCTGTTCATTTTAGCTTTCACCGATTTCGCTAAGCTGGTTTCCGACCATAAACCGTATTTTCGCATGTCTATGTTCGAAAATACAGTTTTAGACGCTAGAAGCGTGTAAAATACGTGAATTGATTGTAATCTTAGCTTGGCTCATTTCATCTGTGCCGAAGTTGTTGTAACTTACCTAGTCATTGAATTCATACACTCTAATCCGCTTTTTCGTTCTAAAGACAAATAAACGATTCTTAATGATAAAATCTGAACAAATAGGCTAAGAGAAGTTGTAATTTTAAACAGTTGATGCCGCTTATTCTCTTGTATTGTTTAGACCTTCTTAGCTATTTATTTCACTGTTGGTTCCTTGCATCGCCCTTATAAAAGTGAACCATGTTCTTACAGATGCGGATTCTTTTTGGCACAAATTCGATTCACTTGTCCCTTCACCTTACAGCCGCTGGATATTGTGGATCCTGAGAGCGGTGTTAGCGCTGAAACAGGGCTGCCAAAAACCATCGCCCAAATGGGCCAGCTTAGTGCCTCTATTCGCACCCACTCTCGTTGCATCCGTCGTCGGTTGCCTAGCAACAGCGAGTCCCAACCCCTGTGCTTCCCACCCGGTTTGTCTGTCCGCCTCGACTTAACTCTTCACAAACTCGTCATTTGCGCTCGCTGTCTCTATGCCACCACTAAGAGCGCGGGTCAGCTGGTGGCTACCCAAATGGTTCGTCCGTTGCTTTTGCGTATTTTTACTGTTTTTGTGTTATTTCCGCAGTGGACCCGTTGATGCGATAGAGCGCCACGTTGTGCGTGATATTGGGATCTAAATATGTGGTCTGAATGCATTTATTAAACTAGAGGTTTTTCGCTTTAATGAGTTTTCAGCACTGACGTACGGTTTTCGGTTTCTTGTCACAAGTACTATGGAAGTGACGCGCATTAGCTCATTGACCTTTCAAGGTGATCCCTTCTGTTCTGTACTCCCGCTAGCATTTCCCAAATTTCGATGTTTACTTATATCAGGCAACTGTAAATGGTAGATAGGTTTTCCATACAGCATGCTGCGATGGCTTCTTGTAACTCGCAAGTACTTGGAAAATGTATGCGATTGTTGTTTCTGTACATCATTATAAAGCGTAGAGGTGCCTCGATCTATCGGTAGGGTAGCCTTTATTTGTATTCAAAAACTTTTCCTCTTACTTTAAACCCTTATATCATCAAAATCGAAATAGAAGCCAGTTTATCATCATAGTCGCTGCATAGCATTTGAAGATGTTGTGTGTAAAATCACCTCCCCTGTTGAAGCAAAACTTGAAGATAGGTGGATCACGTCTGGGAAGACTTCCTTTTGGAGGCATTTCTCCAACTAGTGATTGTATACTTTTCTTGGATTGGGTTTTAATCCATCAAGTGAACGCATGCAAAATGGGATGGGTAGCTGGTAAATGAAATTAAGTCACAATTAGAGATGTCTATTCCATGAACTTAATAAACACATTTTATTTAAGGTCTAGTGAATCCTTTTGGGGGTGAAATGCTCATACCCAGACACTGCGATCATTTCACGTCTTACTACTCTTGAATCTATAAAAACGTCACCACAATACCTTAGCTCTACGCATGTCTCAAACCTATTTGTAAATGAACGAATAACTAAATCTTACAATCCGTAAATTCTTCACTTTCAGATATGTGGTTACATTAATGATATAGGCAAATAAAACCAGTAAACATTGCAGCTGTAGGAAACATGCTATCTCAAAGCTACTGTGATATGCTTTTAAGACTTTTAAAGCGATATATGTTATTATCTTGTCTTTCGCGCTATAACTGATGGCTGTAAAGTTTGCGAGAAATCTAGATCGTCTGCTTGTTTCAAGAATCTTCGTTGTCGCATTTTATAGGCAGAGCATACAGCTCTGGACGCTGCGACGTTGGTTCGGGAGTGTCTCTCACCGGCTGTGCAGGGAGTGTTGGCTGAGACAAACACTCCAGTCAGCAGCACGACTCCTGCGGAGGCGAACCTCTTGTCCATGCTTGAGGTCGCGGCCAATCAGGTGTTGATCACTGCCACAGCTATGGAGCACGGCGAGTACGATTTTGATGGTACTAAGAGGCCCAAGGTAGGCTTCTCATTCTTTTTTCTTATGGAACACGACATTTTCTCCTGAAAATCATTTTTATAGGACAATTTTAGTATGTGTTATTATTTAGTCTTTTAGTCCCATTGCCATATTTCCCCATCATAACTGTTCTGTTTGCATTTCCAACGCATAACACTTTTTGTTCAAGAATTTACTTCTAGGTTTGTTATATCCTCTTCTACGTGCATTCTTTCTCCATTATGCATCGGCCAACTTCCCTAGACTCAAGAACCGATAATACAACGCGCAATCGCGTACAGAAAAGCCCAATCAGAGTTGGAGAGCTGCCGAGGCAAGTTAGAGTTGAAGGAGGTGGAGTTGCTTGAGCTGAGG